GGGGCGGGGCCTCAGCAAAGGGGGTGGGGCCTCACCAGAGGGGGCGGGGCCCCAGCTGCACCAAATGCCCATGCCCCTTAGAACCATTGCTCCTCGTTCTGCCATCTGCCACTACTGAGAACAGCCTCTCCCCGTCCCCTTTGCAACCCCTCTTCAGGGAGTTGAAGTTTGCTATCAAATCCCCCCTCACTCTTCTAGCTGTCTAGGATGCTGACAAGTGGCCAGTGGGTGGAAACAGATTCTCTGCCCTACAACACTGCGGGGCTGCAGTGGTGTGATGTCCAACCCGGGCCACGTTAGCCCGACCAGTGCACCCTCCTCGGGATATGGACCGCGGCTAGCACAGCCTGCTGTACCCAGCGTGGGACCCCCGGCCCAGCTTGGCCCTGCCAGGCTGTAAGCGGGTAGCCGTGACGCAGGCTGGCGGACAGCGGCTGTAAGGGACCATGCGACATCCCTGCTCTGCCCAGCATGGTGGGAGGCAGAAGGCTAGAAGGCCCGTGGGGGCCCGTGCGGGACAGCGTGGTTGCTCCACATCTCATATTGCTTCAGCAGCATGCCCAGCAGGTCGGAGTCTCAGAGGGGTGACTCACAGTCATGCTGCCAACCGGCTAGGTCCAAATGTGGCCCTTGATCCAAGTTTACAAACACCGAGGGCCACGTGCCAGGGAATGTTGCTGGGCGGTTGGGCTGGATGGACCAGGCTGCACCACTGACATGCCAACTAGGCGGGAGGGTGGGGAGTTAAAACTTCCATCCGCATCCAAACCGCCCCGTCTCTGTGATCCCGCCTCCCAGGCCTCACTGCTCCCTCCACCCCTGCCTCTCTGAACCCGCTCGCGTCAGTCCAATCTAGGGATGGAATAGTGCAGCCAATTAACCGATTAACCGATAAGCAAAACCGTATAGGTTCATGCTGTATGCTACATGCATTTCCCTCCCAATAAACTGTTTAGCAGGCGGGCCAGCAGCCCGGCTCAGTCCTGACTTGCGATGGGTCCGGGACCTACCCCGCTGCGGCTCTGCATTTAAAGTATTAGGAGCCAGGCGGGCAGGCAGCCCGGCTCAGTTCCAGCTCGCACCAGGTCCAGGAGCTCAGACTCCGCCCCCCTGGACAGGGGCTGTTTCCACCCTGCACTGCTGCCTCTTGATCAGAGGCAACAGCACAGGGCGACAGGTAGTGGGTCGGCAAGGGAAGCTGCTTTTTAAACTGGCCCCCTTCGCGGACCAGTTCTCACCTAGCACCCCGCAGTGCTGCCTCTGATACAGAGGCAGCAGCATGGAGTGGCAGGAGGTTCCACGGGAGTGAGGCTGGAGCGCACTGGCTACTGACCCCGCCCCCAGGGACTATAGAATAGTCGAGTAACCAATAAGAATTCATGAGGTTACTCGGCTATTCAGGTCACCGATATTTAACATCCCTAGTCTAATCCATGGTTTCCTCTTAACACCCTTCCTCATCCACCCTCCCAGGAGCCAGGCCAGGCAGAAGCAACAAGCCCAAATTTGCCTGTCCCCAGCCGACCTGGGGGCTTCCCGAACTTCATTACAAAGAGGCGCTCCCCCGGCAGCTAGAGCCTGCTGTATTTCCTGAACCCCCCGTGTGAAGAACGCCAAACACCCAGGCACAGCTCAGCCACAGGGGCTGCTTTTGCCTGGCTCCGGAAAATTGTACTTCAGTCTCTCCTGTCTCTCGGAGTAGCCTTCCCACTAGGGCTGCGTTATTCAAGAGGCTCAGCGTCATCTGATAACCCATTCCAGGGCTGCTCTGGTGCTCTGTCGCCGTCTCTTTCCAGCAAAGCTTCTCGGCAGCTGCTCACAGCTACTTATTACAAAAGCCATTACCAAGAGATCTTGGCATTGGAAAAAGTTCAGAGAAGGGCAACAAAAATGATAAGGGGTACGGAACGGCTGCCATCTGAGGAGAGATTTATAAGACTGGGACTGCTCTGCTTGGAAAAGAGACGACTAAGGGGGGATATGGTAGAGGTCTATACAATCATGACAGGTGTGGGGAAAGTAAATAAAGAACTGGTATTTTTTTTCCTTCTCATTACACAAGAATGAGGGGTCACCAAATGAAATTCATAGGCAGTAGGTTTAAAACAAGCAAAAGGAAGTTTTTCTTCACACAATGCACAGTCAACTCGTGGAACTCCTTGCCAGAGGATGTGGGAAAGACTAGAACTTTAACAGGGTTCAAAATAGAGCTAGGTAAATTCATGGCGGTTGGGTCCATCAATGGCTATGAGCCAAGATGGGCAGGGGTGGTGTCCCCAGCCTCTGTTTGTCAGGGTTGGGAATGGGTGACAGGATGGGTTGTTTGATTCCCTGTTGTGTTCCCTCCCTCTGAGGCACCTGGTGCTGGCCACTGTGGGCAGACAGGATACTGGGCTAGATGGACCTTTGGTCTGACCCAGTGTGGCCACTCTTATGTTTACGTGCCACTTGGCAGGTCCAGGCAGAAGAAGTTTTTCTCCATGAGGACATTCTGCCTCCCGCCCCCGTTCTAAAGGCAAGAGTGAAGCCGGGATACAATTCCACAGTCCATCCGGAAAAGCTATAAGCTTCCCCCAGTTCAAACCTCCCTAGCTGGGCAGAGGAAATACCGGGACAGCCATAAACCCGTCCTGAGGGAAACGACTCCTCACCCAGGCTCTGCAGGGGACAACTTACGCGTGGCCTGGTGCTGCTAGATTAAGAGCAAACCCCTGGGCTGCACAGACACCAGGAGTCGGGCTTTGCCAACTTAACCAGCAAGCTGGAAGAAAAGAATCTCTGGTGCTTTCAACTTCACTTCCCCGTCCGTTCGGAGCCTGCCTGCCAATTATCCCGCCTTGCCCTTCCCTCGCCTTTCGCTCTGGGATCCAGATGCTGCTTGGCAGGGTGGGCACCCCTTGGCAACTGACGCCTTTCGCTCTGCGAGAGGCGCGTTGGCGCCCTGGCGAGCAGCGCGCCCTCAAGATGCTCCAAGTAAAATCAAGTGATTGTGAAATCATCCCCCAGGTGAGAAGCAGGCGAAGGAGCCTGTCACTGATGGGGGAATGAATCCAGTTTGTATTTGTGCTCGGTGATGGAGGAAATGTAAAGAACTCCGCTCCCGTCTCGCTGATGGTCGGCTAGACCCCGGGAGGCACATCGCCTGCATGGGAGATGCCCTCTCTTCAAGTGACAGATGCAGAGATTTCGCCTCTCTGGCCAGGCAGGCTGTGCCTGCCACGTTAAACCCACCCGCTGCTCGCAGCCAGCTCAGAGCTCCAAGCAGAGTCCGATTTAACAGCCCAGGAAAGTTTAATCCAAGAGGGGTCCCTTAACGCTTTGCAGGATTCTGATAAAACAGTCACATCCACAAGCTTACACGCCTGCCTGCGTCCCCAAGTCTTTCTTCAGAACCTCTCTCTGGCGTCTGGGTAGCCATCCATCTCTCTTTGTCCGTACCCTGCTCCTAACGAATCAGAGCATATCTAGCTTCTGTCTGACTACCCGGTACCTCTGGGTCTCTGATACCTGTCTATCCAGCCATCCGTCCATTGGGGATTTGTATCCATCCCTTCACACTGCCCCTGTGCCTGCTCCTGGGGGCTGCACTTTCATAGTTTTGTCGAATCTGTCTCGTCGGTTCCAGCCGTCCTACCCCAGCCTGCCGGCTCCCCTCGCCCTGCTCCGGTCCACGCGGCTGGCTAAAGCTAGAGCAAGGTTTTACCCTTGCCACTGCTCCATTTTCCAATTCTGCCCCTCTGCTTGGCACACGCCCCCCACCCTCCAAGCAGTCTGCTGTTCCCAGGCCGGGGGTGTCTAGGCTTTCTCCAGCGCCTCGGGACGCGCCGCAGACTCCTGGGCACTCGACGCTCCCTTGCTTTCCCATCCCCACAAAACCATGCACAATCCCAATTTTCCGAGGGCGGAGGGGGAGGCTCACCTTGCTACGCAGCCCGGCTGGGGAAAGACTTCCACAGGCTCCGGGCCCTGCTCATTTTCCAAGCTCCCTCGCTGAGTTTGGAGGAGGCGAAGAGGAGACGGCTGAAGTATTCACTCCCTGGTAGCGCTGGGGCGTGTGAGCGTGTGACAGACTGGAGGGAAAAGCATCAATGAATGGGGAGGCTGCCTGCCTGGGGGTAGGGGGGGGCCGGGCTGTTGGGAGCTGCCGGCTTTTCAAGCACCACCAGGGGGCATTGCAGTCCAGCAAGACCTCCCCGGCTAAGCACAGCCACCTGGCTGGGGAAGGGGGGCTGTGCCCGCTGGCAGCCAGCCCCATGGGGCCTTTGGCCCATGCAGGGGACCTGTGGGAGGTGGAGGCAGCAGGCAAGGGCAGAGGGAAGGACCGGTCGCTAGGAAGTAGCATCTCTCCCTGGAGCGGATCAGTCCCCGGACAGGGTAGGACCGGGCGGTGCATGGGACTTTCCGGATCGGGGCAGGGCCCCCTCTAGGCTGCCTCTTCCCCCCCAGGGGCTGTGGCTTGAAATGCATCGGGGCCCATGATGAAGTCAGAGGGATCCGGGGCCAGCCAGGCAGCCTGTGGGGAACAGGAGCCAGGAGCCGATCCCGACGTGCATCCTGGCTTGTGGGATCAGGACCTTCGCTCCCCCGGCGTGGGACTCGACCCGCAAGCCCCTGCTGTGCCAGCCTGGGACCTGCCCCGCCACAGCGCTGCGGCCGCTCTGTCCTGACCCACAGCCTCCTGCCTGAGCTCACTCCCTCTCCTGGGCCTGCGCAGATTACAGCCCTGCATGCCCCCTGCAGCCATGTTTTCTGGCTAAGAGCAGGGGGCTGAGACCCAGCGGATCCCTGTCCCTTGCAAGCCACGCCGTGCCACTGGGGACGTGTCCCCTCGGCCCCCCAGAGCACTGCTGGGAAAGTCCCTCATCATTCCTAACCGGATTGACCCACCTGGGCCCTCTCTCCCAGCGGATCCGACAGCACCTTATGAACTCAGCACCACCAGCCCCGTTTCGTGCTCCCCCCCGCCCCGCCGTAGTGAGTGGTCTGCTTTTCAAAGCGCTCGCTGTGGACGGAGGCAGCTGTCTTTAGGCACCCACCCTTGAACAGCTTGACCTTTGCCACGATGGGCCTCAGTTTCCCCAGTTGGTGCAGTGCAGGCAACAATGATCTAATCGAGTGGTTCTTGGACTGCATTGGTTCACGAGACGAATTAATGGGGGGAGGAATTCGTTGTTTCATTCCCAACAATGCTGAGCGAGAGAAAGAGAGAGTGAGTGTGTGTATGTGTCTGTTTGTTATGAGAATAATAGAATAACCCAGCACAAGCTGATAACCAAATTGGCCAGTGACACAGCAGAAGCATCCTGCGTGGTTAATAACCGGGACCGGTTAATAAGTAAACCACATTTTGTTTTAATACCCTGGGCTGCACAGAGCTGCAGGAGACACATCAAAGAGCCCCTTGCGGTTTGCGAGCTGCAGTCTGAGTCTCCCTGATCTCACCCCTAGGGAACGCTGCCTGGGTTGGAGTCTGTGGGGTGCATGGCCGTGTCCCTAGGGCGATGATTAGCTGCCCAGCAGCAGGGGGGGGCTCATTTGATGAGATGGGAGGCTTGAGCAGAGGGCTGGGATGGGGGGGTTAAGAGGCTGGATGTGCAGCCTGTACGGCGGGGGGAGGGGAGGGCGGATTTTCTATCATTTGTTTCTATAAAGATTTTGGCAGGCCAGGCAATGTCCCTTCCCGGGCAGGACAGAGTGTGTGGAGCCGGCAGCAAGGATCCCAGGCTCTAGGTCAGGAGTTGGGGGGTGCTGCAACCTCCCCCCCCATCTGCACCCCTAATTCCTGAGTCTATGCCCCCACAGGTGCTCAGTCCAGATGGCGCTGGGGGACCCTGGCCGTCAGACATTGCGGCGGCAGGAGCTTGGCTGCTGAGGCCAGGGACAGCCCAGAATCCTCAGCGAGAGGCGACAGACTCTCCTGCTTCCCTCCCCTGCTGCCCCTGTGCCACGTAAAGTTCTGGGCTGCGGTCACCAGGCGAGCAGCAAGCAGAACAGGGCAGAGGCAGGCCCCCGTCTGGCAGCAGAAAAGGAGCGCTAGCGTGGGTGGAAACAGCCTCTGTGCCCGGCCCCCTCCCACCCAGGCAGGGCAGGCCAGAGTGCATTGCCCCAGGTCGCTCCGAGCCTCCTCCGGCCCACGGGCTGAAGAGGGAGGTGTAGAGAAGCCGCAAGGCTGCTCGAAATGACACAGGGCCCGGTAAGCGCCTTAGCACAGAGCCTCGGGCCTGAGTGGCTTGGGAGAAGTGGACCCCAGCGTGTTGAGGGAGATGGAAGGGGGGCCAGCGGATCTCTGAGGCGAACGGGTCCAGCGTGGCCACTAATGGTGCCGCTTGCCCGGGGATCACAGACGTCACTAGCTTGCCCGGCCGCGGGTTAAGCAGCTGGCTTGGTCTGGCCAGGCCTCGCCGTCCCAGCCGCGGTCAATCTGCACCAGCGTCCCCAAGCTGAGCCCCACAATCAGCAGCACGGCCGTGCCCACGAGGGACTCCCAGCGAAGGGGACAGAGAGCCGAGCGCGTGGCTGGGGGAGCTCGGTGGGTGCTTTGTGCTTGGTCCGGGCACAGCAGCCGGAGGGGGCGCTGGGGAACAGCCGGCCTCGTTCTCCCCACGCCCCGCTGGGCTTGTGCCACGCGCCTGGCGTTACGTGGCAACGGGCCAAGAGCGACTCACGTGCAGCGCAAATACCGGGGAGACAGGGGGCCCCCTTATCGCAGGATCAGGCCTGTCTCCGGGGCCAAAGTACAGCCCCCTCCCCTGCTCCGTCTAGAAAGCCAGGCCACCGCGTACGCACCCCACAGTCACGCACACGGCGGGGGGATCGCGTGGCCGACGGCAGCTCCAGCGGGGGCCAGGCAGGGGGCTGCAAACAGAGAGGGCCAGGCCACGTGCCTCTCCGCCAGACACCACCGGGGCGGAGGGGCAGAGGAGGGGCAATCACACGGGGCCCAGGCAGCTCTGTGGGGCTGGATCTCCCCCTTGGGGCTGTCGCCGGCTGCTGTCTGGCTGGACACCGGGGGGCACCTCCTTGTCTCTTGTTCCGCTTCCCAGGTGGGTCTGGGCCCCTGTAGCTTGCAGGGCGCCAGGAGCAGGGGAGAGTCACTGACCCCGCTGGTTCCAGTGGTGCTTCCCTGGCCAGAGCCCTCTGTGCGCTGGAGAAGATGCCGAGATGCTGCCGTCACTCTGAAGCAAAGGGCTTGCAAGCATCTGGCCCCCAGCCAGAGACAAGCTCTTAGAAACCTCCCCATTCCGGGAGGGGGTGGGAGGGAAGGGCTGGAATTGGCAGCAATGGGCTGAAAGGAGAGGGGTTATGGACGGGCAGGGGCTGTCCCCTGCAAACCAGCCTCCTCCCCGGGCAGGCAGCGAGCGGAGGAGCCGGCCCGGTCACACGGGACGGCGGGGAGCAGAGCGGGGGCTGCGCGAGACAAGGACGACAGGGCGCCGGGGGCGCAGACAGAAGGAGCCGAGCCCTGGGAAGTCGGAGGCGGGGGTGGGTTCTCTGGGCGGGTGCCGGCAGCCGGCCATACTCAAGTGAGAGGCCAAAAAGAAAAAGCAAACCCTCACTGGGGTGGCCCCGACTGAGGAGAAAGACCCTCCCCACATCCGCCTCCCACACCAGAGCCCGGGGGCCCAGGCTGGTAGAGTGTGTGTGCTGCAGCCCCATGGCGGGGCAGTTGGAGCCCCAGCATGGGCTCCCCAAGGCTGGGGGGGGCTGAACCTGGGGGGCTGGATCCAGGCAAGCTGGGGGCCACATCCAGCCTCTGGGTCTTAGTTTCCCCACCCCTGCTGGAAGTTGAAGCTGCCCACGGGGTTGGCACGGAGGCCCAGAATCCCCACCCCTGACAGAACCCCCAAGCTGCCCCCCGATTCTGCCCTCACTGAGTCCCGGCCTTGCACACTCCCTGTGGCCACATCCCTCCCCAACATCTGATTCACTGGCTTCTCCCTTCCCCTCGGCTGTGTCCCTTCTGGAGCCCGATGCTCCCGGAGGCCCTCAACAGGGCTGCGGAGGAGATGGAGGGAGGCCGGTTCTGCCACTGGAGTCAAGTCGGGAGCACGAAGCGCCCCGCTGAGGACTAGATGGTGTCAGAGCCCAGCCCGCCGCGGCCCTGCTAACGAGGGTGCCAGGAAGCGAGTCCCCCTCATTTCCAGTAATGGCAGGGCTACAGGCTTGCGGCCCCAGAGCTGTGCGGGTTCCCTACATGGGTCTGCGCCGGTTCAGAGCAGCTGGTATTTGGTACAGGAGGGCAGCAGGCATCCCGGTCCCTCAAGATAACACGCGAGTGGCCAGGCCCAGGCGACCACAGGACCATCCCACGAGGCTCCAGGGAGTCACACGATGGGGGTGGGCATAGGGGAGGAGGGTCAGGGGTGAGGAACATCGGCTGCTGAGGAGGGGAGTGGCCGGAGGCTGCAGGGCCGGGGGCGGGCGCAGGAGCAGCGCTGTGGTGGGAAGCCCAGGACTGAAATGCCAAGGGAGCCGAGAGGTGAGACTGACGGGCAGGGCCGGGAGGGGAGGGGGATGCTGGCTGCTGTGGCTTCTGCAGAATATTCTGGGGTATTTAACACCTGGGGATGCGGGGCATTGGCTGACAAGGGGCCGGGTTTGACACTCTGTTCTGGGTGAGCCCGGTGCATTGAGAGGGGGCATTTATACCCCCCGTAATGGACAGGAGGAGGGCTGGCCAGCACCTGGAGGCTAAGGGGTTAAACTCAAGTAGCTAGCAAGGGTGTTGGTGGGGCCAGGAGAACCAATGGAGATAGAGGGCTGAAATTTGAATTGCATATAGATCCCTTGCCTGCTTTCTTTGTGTGGGAGAGTCAAACCAGGAGTTGAGACGCACAGAATGATTTAAACCCAGGCAGGATTACCAGGCCTCCAAGGAATTCGGGGCATGGAAGTGGACTGGACCAAGAAGGGATCGTGAGTAAATAAAGGGGGAAAAAGTGAATCTAGTTGTGATCTGTGTGAATCTCTGCCTTCCCTCCCCTCTTCACCATCTAAGAATTGTTCCCGGAGATTTTCTCTGTGTGTCAATTTGTTTTCCTTAGCTACTCGGTAACACC